TGTTGGTCACTCTCATTTCTCCCTGGGATGCAGCATGGAGGAAGAGGCATGAAGGAGCTCAGGAATCCAATGGGTAGCACTTGATGATGCACAAGGATGAAGGCAGCCGACCAGCTGGGCCAAGACATTGCTGTTCATGGAAGTTAGAAATCACACTAGGATATGCTCCTTAAAACATGGTGCCCATTGCACCAGGCTCTAATATAACCAAATCCCTAAGGAAAGGGAGTACCTGCCCATGGGCCGAGTTCACACGTCCTTTAACTCAGGATGCACAGAAGGGACATTCAACACCTGTGGCTGAGGTTTTTCATCCCTGTGAGCCCTAAGTCCCAACAGTCTATAACATGTGGCATAACAGAAACAAGTGGTGCCCCCAAGACTTACCTTGATCCCCTACAGACCAAACTGCCTACCAGTGAGCAGGAGGGAGCAGGAAGCACAAATAAATAGTTTTCTTTTTGATACTAATAAACACTTAACAGAGAAATCAGAATTAGGAAGTTGGCCCAAGCTCTCTTAGTCTTTGATTTCCAAGTTCCTTCAGGTTCCTGAAACATCTCTGGGCACCTGAAACACCACCACTTTGATTGTAGCCACAGGCACCATCCTCTTAGATTATATCCTCTATCCTGCAAAAAAAAACATCCCATGGAACTGATACACTGCTCTGAGAATGAGGTTCCCTTACCACTTGCTCATCATATGCCACTAGGGTCAACCAACCCTCTCAGCCACACCTACAAAACAGTCAAAATCTTAATTTCCATCAAAACTTCCACCAATTCCCAAAACTGCAGCAATTCAGATGGGTCAGACACTGCCATAAGCTCATACCCCCCAGACAGATGCCAGTACTTTGCTTTCAGCTTCTACAGCACCTAGAACACTATCCAAGTTTGTTACTAAGGCTCATCAACAAGCATACTAAAAGCAGTGTGTAAAATTACTAAGAATTCCTGATTTTACTCTAGATTTCCAGAGGAAACAAATTTTGAGGGTCACTTGGCCAGATCTATACATAGTTGTTGATGCAACAAATCCTCCTAGGATATATACATGGTTTGGGCATTGTCACAACACAAATTCAGCTCTGTTAGAGGTAACAAGTGACCACCAAACCCCCATCTCCAACGTCCCTGTTCCCACTTCTACCTCCTGATCTCCTTTGTCACAGCCCCCTGTTTCAGTCTAAAATCACTGTCACCCTCTGTTTTAGGGGAAAAGCATGAAAAGGTGAGCTAAGCAGCTACAGCAGGCCTAGAGGTGAGCAGAACCTTATTCCTGGGTGGGAAGGGGAGCAGAGGCAGCAGCCGTGCAGCACGGAGCAGCAGAGCTGCAGTGTCGCCCGCTGGCCGCTCCCAGCACTGCCAGCTGATAGCGCTCCCATTACAGCATCCTTCAGCTCCCACCGCCCTCTCCACCTTCCTCCCTGCTCTCGCTTCGAGGAAACGTGCCGAATAGGCAGCCCTGAAGGTTCACTGCCACAAAGTGCCCTTGCTCAGGAGCAGACCAGGGTACCATGGTGCTCTTGGAAGAAAACAAGACCAGGAGCCCTTCAGGTGCAGCCTAAACAGGCATGCAGGTAGGACCACACACTGCATCCTATTTTCACCTTGCCCAGCTTCTACCCACTGCAAAAATTAAATCCAATGGGACTGTGTAACTTTCTCAGCAG